CATCACATCACATCACATCACATCACATCACATCACATCACATCACACCACACCACACCACACCACACCATACCATAACACATTTTGTGGGGCTTGTCCTGGGTGAGAGAAGTGCCAGTGAAGCCTTTACCTGACTCCAAATCTCACCTTCCTCTGATGTCCCCAGCACACAATGACCTCTCCTTTCTCTTAACTCAAATTCTGGCTAGCATCCCTGCTCTCAAAGCCATTTATTATAGATGAAGGTATGGCTTCTTTCCCCAACTAGACTGAGAGCTCCAGGAAGCCAAGAGGCACATGCCATCTCTCCTCTGTATCCCCTGCGATGCTTAGTGCACTGCTGCACACGAGGGCTCAGAATTGGAGGAATAAATGAAAGAGTAAACATGGGAAGACTTGTATGCAGAGTGAAGAAAACAAAGTAAAAGGGAAAAAATGAATTTAATGACAACAAAATGTAAATAAAGTCAACATGGAGAGGCAACAAAACTCTGATCAAAGATGACGGACAAAGCTATTGCCATACCATCAAAGTTAAAGGATACGCATTTTAGCTGTATGACCTTGGACAAGTCATTTAACCCCTTTGTGACCTCATCTGCAAAATGAGGGGGCAGGTCCATTTCACCCTTAAATCAATGGTGCTTGGTAATCTCTGAGGTCCTACCACACCCTAAATCTATGATTCTGTAATCCTTTCTGCTAATAATTGACAGCAAGGCATTCAAGTTTTTTGACCTTCAGTCTTCTTAATAGTAAAATGAGGGTTGGGTTCAATGAGCTCTCTGGTTCCTCCCAGGTCAGAATCTGGGTGCCTACAAGCAGGAGGGCACTGAAGCCAGCCCTTACTAGCTCAGGAGAGCTGGGGTTAAAATGGGGAAATGCTACACATCAGCGCTTGATGGATTGACTCTTGCTGATGGTCTAGACTTAAGAAAGTGATGGAGAAAATATTAATGCAAATTAAACTTAAAAATGTGTCCTGTACTAACAAGGAACTATATTTTACAAGATTGCACGTGTATAACCTATATCACATTGGTTATCATCTCAGGGAGACGGAAGGAAAAGAAAGAAGGAGAGAATTTGGAATTCAAAATGTTTTTAACATTAAAATGGTTTTTACATGTAATTGGGGAAAAAATTAAAATATTTTTTAAAAATGTGTCATGCATACATTTTCTTTCAGCTGGCTATTACACATTAATCAGCACACATTGCCTATAAGTGTCTCTTGTGTCAAAACAATATATCCAAATGAGCAAAGAAATAAAGAATGAATGAATGAATAATGATTATATGAATGGACAAAGGCATTTTGTTACATTGGGAAAAGACTTGGACTGGCTATCAGAAGTCTTGGGATCTAAGCCAGCTCTGCCATTAACTTGTGTGATGCTCATCAAATCCTCCAGCCTCAGTTCTTTCTTCTTAGGCAGCTGAGGAGTATGAGAAGGCTGGAGAAACTGGTCCCTCGGGGTCTTTCCAGCTCAACATTCTAAAAGCCTGCTAATTTTCCAAGACTGGGGAGGTACAATTGCAGCTCCAATATGATACCCAATAGTCAGGAAACCAACTGATATCATGATGGCCAGTCTCAAATGTTTAGCAAGTGAAAAATCCACCAAGGCACAAGGCTACAGTAAACCATGTGGGAAGGAAACCCAGAAGTTCTCTTCAGAAGAGATCTTTCATGGGCAAATCGCCTGAAAAGAAAGGGCTCATCCAATTTATTTTAAAAACTATTCTTGGGCAAGTGGTTCCAGATCTCCTATGCTCAGGGGTGTGTTGCAGCCAGATCAAATCAGCTCACAAGAGCTGATTGTTAAAGTTGTAGTATGAGTATAAATTTTTTTGGAGAGCCAGTTATTTTAACATTTTCCCTCATATTCCTGCCTGTGCCTTTCCAGAAGTCTCCTAAAACCTTCCAAAAGTAAGTTATGAAGAACAGGAAATAGACTGACTGAAACATCAAGAGTTATAAAAGTGAAATAAATAAAATGCTCACCAGGGAATATATGTTAGACTAAGCTAATCAGAAACATTAGCAATAGGCATCAAATCTTCCCCTGCCTCAAAGAGTAAGAGAAAACAAACAAGGAAACAAAACCTGAGAATGCAGACTTACCCGTGGGGTCCGCTTCCTGGGGAAGGTTAGGTTGAGATAGTTATTAAAAATAGATGATTTGGCTAAGCTAAGGTCACCATTCTCTCCATAATTTTTACCCAAAGAATCTGTTAGAAAAAGAAAAGATTGAAATTCAGAGCTTGCCAATGTGTTATCACCAGGTTTAGGAGGCGTCCTCATAACTAAAGGAACCAACCAAATATGGTTCCCCAAGTGTATTCTGGGAAGGATCCAGAAGGGCACTTGGGGTTCAGGTCCCTGGGGCTGAAGAGGGCACTGGAGGTTGGGAGGGGGACCCAGAGAGGTGTTGAAACATCTCTGCCCATGCAGGCCCAAGGAGAAATGACGTTCCCTTGAAAGCAGGAGATACCTGAGCTCACACAAGCTCATCTTCATTTCTAGGACACCAGAAAAAGTGGGTGAGAGGAAGAGGTACCTTGAGAACAGCAATGTGAGAAAGGGACAGGATGAGCCAGTAGCTTACACTGACCATTAGCCATGGGACCTTCCCTCAGGCTACAAGGTCATCCCTTTTGGCAAATGGGAGAGAAGATAGCAGACCAGTGTTTCCAAAATGATTTTCCACTGGAGCTAGGAAAGACCAGACTTGGGCTCAATTTCAAGGGATGACTTGGGGACCCTGAACAAAACATCGAATTTCTCTGAAAAGCAAGAGGCTTGTAGGCTTCTTACCAACAGCTCTGAGGGGTGTCCCTCGAAACAGCTCATAGAACTTAGAGAGGTACATGACCAGACTGAGCTTATCTGGCTCCTGGGCGGATGCCATCTCTTTGCCTGTGGTCATGGGGGGGATTCCAAACTCCCGCTCTGCAATGTCAAATGCCAGCTGGTTGTTCTCAATGGCATCTTCTTCATTCAAAGAGTCGAAGTTGCTAAGGAATAATGTGAGAAAAGTCAAAAGGTTAGGGGAGAATGGCTTCCTCCAACCACCCTCAAAAGCCAAGTCACACTACTAGGCAGGCCTGTCAACATGATATATTGAACACCTAGAACCACTGGAAGATGACAGAATAATGAAATTACTTCATCGGTTCAACAAGCATTTATTAAGGGCCTGTTCTGTGCCAGTCACTGTGATGGAGCTCAGGATAAATAGAGAAAAATGACAACACTTACTGCTGTCGAGGAACTAACAATATCTTTTTATTGGTCAAAGCTAGTAGCTGTTGTCCAATCATTTCAGTCACGTCCAACTCTTTCACGACCTCATTTGGGTTTTCTCGGCAAAGATACTGGAGTGGTTTGCCATTTCCTCCTCCAGCTCATTTTATAGATGAGGAAACTGAGACCAACAGGGTTAAATGATTTGCCCAGGGTCACATAGCTAGGAAGTGTTTGAAACAGATTTGAACTTAGGAAGATAAGTCTTCTTGACTCCAGGCCTGGGGCTCTATCCATTGTATCACCTAGCTGCCCAAAGGTCTAGTAGATACCAGGTTAAAAGCTTCTTGAGCAAAACTATTTGTAGCAGCTCTTTCTGTAGTGGCCAAGAATTGGAAATTGAGGGGATGCTCATCATTTGGGGAATGACTGAACAAGTTGTGGTATATGAATGCAATGGAATACTATTGTTCTATAAGAAATGATGAGCAGGCAGACTTCAGAAAAACCTTACATGAGCTGATGCTGAGTAAAATGAGCAGAACCAGGAGAACAGGAGAACATTGTACAAAGTAACAGCAACACTGTGCAATGACTAACATTGATAGACTTAGCTCTTTTCAGCAATGCAAGGATCTAAGAAAATTCCAAAAGACTCATGACAGAAAATGCTATCCACATCCAGAGAAAGAACTTTGGAGTCTGAATGCAGATGGAAGCATACTATTTGCTCTCTTTTATTTTTGTCTCTTCATTTTTGTGGTTTCTCCTATTGGTTCTAATTCTTCTTCACAACATGACTAATGTGAAAATATGTTTCAGATGAATGTATATGTAGAGCCTCTATCAGACTGCATGCTGTCTTGGGGAGTGGGAAGGGAAGGGAAGGGGAGAAAATTTAGAACTCAAAATCTTATAGAAGTGAATGTTGAAAACTAAAAATAAATAAATAAGCTGGGGGAAATTTCTTGGGGGAATCAACACGTACACAGAGAAGTCAACACAAAATATATGTCAAGTAAATATAAGGTAATTTGGATCATAGACTTAAGGCTGATGAGACCTCAGAGATTATCTAATCTGAGTCCCTCATTTTACAGATGAGGAAACTGAGGCCCAGCTCCAATATATTGCACTGATTCCCTTTCTCTTTCACTTCTTTGTGCTCTCTCTACCTCTGGAATGACACCAGAGGAATATGCTTGTCATACAGCAAATGCTTAATCAATATTTATTTGTATACATTTTTCATCAACTAATCTATAGTGATTTCCCCCAAGAAGAATGTAAGCTCCTTGAGGGCATGCATATTTCACTTTTGCCATTGTAGTCACAGTGTCTCACACATAGCAGGCACTTAGTAAATGTTTATTGAAAAAATGAAAAAATATTTAAATAAACACTTGTTGACTGACTGGATGATCAAAATGTAAGAATACGCTAGTGAGGTGGGAAAGCGATTCACCAGATAATCCTCACCCTGGCTCTTCACAGATGCACAGCAAATTGCCAACATTCAGCAGGGGAAGTGATGGAGGGGGAGACCACAGATTCAAGTCTTGCCCCCAAGCCTCAATAGTGAAGGTCTGTAACACTTCATTAATCAGAGCTTCCACCAGCTATCCCACTCTGAGTCTTCCAGTAGGGACCTCTGCTATGAGTTGGCAGGACCAAAATGGCACTCACATGAGATCTGGTCTGAAGTGATGGATAAGAGCACATAAGGCCAGACCACTCCTCCAGGAGGTGCTCAGATCCGTGACGTTGACATGTTGGTAGCCTTCCGTCTGCTTCTGACACCAGGTTAAAAGCTTGTTGGGTCTGATGTCGGATTCTACAGTTTGGGCAAAGGACAGTGATAAAGGACTCCCACCACCCACATGACCGACCATTAGGCCAGAGTGATGAACCTGCAGAGGATCTCAAAGGCCCATCTAGTCTAACTCCCTTACTTGACAGATATCCATAGAGGTTAAGTGACTCACTCAAAGTCCTATAGGTAGCAAGTGATTGGACCTGGATTTGAACCAGGACTGGTTGTTGAACCCAGGTCTTCCTATTTCTTTATATCACACTGCCTCATCCATGCATGCCTTGCTAGGCTTTTGCTCCCCTCTGCATGTTGGAAATGTGGAACAAAGGAGTCCAGGGGAAAAGTCTGCCCATAGCAGATGGTGGCCTCTGCTTCATTCTACTTTTTTCCTAGGCCTCTGAATCTATTTGGAAAGGTGGCTTCTGGGACAGAAATCTGGGCTAAAATGAATGGTGGAGACAACTGGGAAGTCATTACACTCATCCATTCATCCATCCATCCATCCATGGCCCCATGGAAGGCACTGAAAAGGTCCAGAAGGAAGGTGACCTGATCTTTGCCCTTTGGCACTCTACACTCTAATGAGGAAATTAAGAACAAACAGGAAACCACTAGAGAATTAACACAGGCAAAAGACACCAGAGCACCAGGGAAACAAAAGCACAGGCAGAATGTAAAGCAAAGATGTAGATTAGGTATAATCAGAGGCAGCAAGAATAGACCCATGTTGTTCAAAAATATTCATAGCAGCATTATTTGTGATACTAAAAAACTGAAAACAAAACATGTTCTCAGGAATTGGGGAATGGCCAAGCAAAATGAGGTTCTGGACTATAACAGCATGTTACTGACTTTCATAATCATTAGCTAATATTTAAGGCTGGCAGAGAGCTTTACATAGCTCCTCATTTAATCCTCACAACAACCCTGGGTGCTATTATTATACCCATCTGACAACTGAGGAAACTGAGGCTGAGAGCGATAAAGTGACTTGCCCAGGGTCACAGTGCACTTAAGTATCTGAGGCAATATTTGAATTCAAGTCTTTCTGATTCCACATCTAGAGCTCTATCCCCTTTGGTATCCAGATAACTTACAAGAAACGACAAATTGGAAGAATTCAGAGCAAACCAAAAGACTTATAGGCATACAATGATTTTTGTTGCTCCAGACCTGTGGTCTAGGGCTGGGATTTCACTGATGTAGGGATCTTTCCAGAAAGTAACTTCCTCAACCAGGACAAATACTCTTAGAGAGGTGCCTGAGTGATTATGTGACCTGTTCAGGGACATACATGCATCAGAGGCAGCAGGCCTTGGGTCTAGGATTCTAAGGCCATCTCTCTCTCCAATGTGCTGCCTCTCACCCAATGACCACGACAATGTAAATGAAGACATCACTCAAAGGCAACAAAGCCAGGTCAAGTAAATACAAGAGATAATGTGATATGAAGTTATTAGAGTCAAACTCATCTCCTATCTTTTCTGTTAACCACCAGCAGGCTTCAAGAATGGAAAAGGACGCTCATCGATCTAGTAGGCACTTTTGCTTAACCATTTGGGGTAGAAGTGCTTTGTGAGGGGTAGGTTTGGTGTTTGTTGAAAAGTGTCTGTGGTGTCAAAACAAAATGCATTAGTAATTCATCTTAAACAGAGTCAAGGGAGTTGAAGTGCAGCATGGACAGGGGATGATGGAAAGCAGGGGATGGAATTCTAGGCAAGTGAGATAAGCGGAATGCCAACCTATTACCTTTTATGGAGTTCAAAGAGCCTAGTAAGAAAGGAGGACAATGAAGGTCAATGAAGGCAGACCAGACAAGGCCCTGAGACAGCTTTCTGACAATGTGGCTAGCCACGTTCCGGAACCACAGTCCAGTTCCTCAGTCCTATGCCCAGTCCCCTTCCAATAACCATGGCCCTTTCCCCAGCTAGGAACTAAAAGATAGATGGGGGCTCATTGCATAAAGAATGTGATGAGATGGACTCACCCCGCCGGGAGAGACTGACTGATCTTCTTATGGAGCCCAGTCTCTCAAGAGGCAGATGATGCAGCTCCGTAGTAATGTATAAATGCTTTACCTGAAAAGAGGCAAAGACTGGGCAATGGTGCGCAGCCATCCACCATCCATGTACCCGTGGCCATGCATGATCCACCCCTACCCACCCAACACTATACAGCTATCCCTATATTCACAATTCCTTTTTGTCTTTTTGGTTTTTGTCTATCATTGGGCAACACAGCCTAACGCAGGACAGTCAATGGAGGCAAGCTTATCAATGTTGCCAGCTCTCAGTAACACATGCTAAGGAATAATGACATGGATCCCAGGATTCAGATTTAGAGCTGGAGGGGATCTCACAGGTCAAGTAGGCCAGCCACCTCATTTAACATGGGATAATTATGGCCCGGAGAGGTAAGTGACCCTGCCCAAGGAGCCTACAGCAAATACCAGAGGCCAGATTCACACCTAGGACCTTGGACTGCAAATTCAGCAGTTTTTGCACTATGTCTTGCAGCCTTGTGTGACGTCTAATTACACAGTACGATTAGCCCGGGTGGCTGGAGGAGGGAAGTGGTTTTGGACAGCATGGTGGGCAAGGTGGAATAAAGAAACCCATAACTCAGTGAGATTAGGGATGAGGAATGGGTTTGGGGGGGGATGGTGTAAGGAGAGGGACCGAGTCATCCTCTGAGGCACGTTGTCCGAGTGGCTTGCTAAGTACATATATGGCATAAGAAGGACTAAGTAACCATTTTCTTCTATTCTCTGGGTAATGAGGAAAGAATGTGGAATACTTTCCTATTTGACTGTCCTGGGCTGGAAGGGCAGGGGAGGAAGGGTAATTGCTGGTGTGGGTTTATATGTCTGCCCCAAGATTTCAAGCCATGCTTCCCTGCCCAAGCCCAGAGGAGACCAACACAGGGACTCAGGGTCCAGAGAGAGGCTGACCTGATGGGGCCGGACACAGTTGGAGTTGAGGTTTGGGTACCGAGTGCCAGGGTCGAGGGTGTACTGCTCAAAGTTCTTACTGATGTTTTCTGGAGTCGTCTGAGGCAACAGTCGGTAAAGACTCTCCCTGTTTGGAACCAGAACTCAAGGTGAGAGGCTGTTTGAGAGGTCCTGGAATACTTCCCTGGGTAAAGCTGTTATTTCTCATACCTAGAAGCAGCATTTCTCCTACTGTGGCCTTCCCACCCATGGGAACTCTGCAGGGGATAGGCAGGCAGAACATGGAGGGTACTTTTGGGAAATCTGCAGCTTCAGAGAAGCCCAGTCCCATGGAGTTGTGTGGTCCTGATATAACTGCCCCTTGGGAGAGACTGTTCTTTGGGCAACAACGCCAAGGTACCGCCCTGCTGCCCTACATGTGCATGGTCACCTTTTCCAAAGCCTGTCCCTCCCCTCCTCTAACTTTTGTGACTACTGCAGCATCCGTAAGTGCATGGCCACAAGTGTCCCAGGTGAGAAAAAATCATATAATCATAATATTCAGGAAAGGGACCTTAATGGGGAGCCATTAAATCCAACCTTCCAGCCAATGCAAGAATCCTCTCTTACAGCAAAGGAGCCAGGGGTACCCTTAGAACCTAGTTCCACTAAAACATATTGTCTCTGCCTTTGGGACCACCAAGTGTTATCAGGCAATTCAAGGCTTGGAGCCTTCCCAGGACAAAAGTAATTAGTTTGCTGCTTCAAGTCTCTCCCTTCCCCAATCTGTCCCCTACAAAGCTGCCAGAATGATATTCCTAAAGCATCTGCTGTTGTTGAGTCTTTTCATTTATGTCCGACTCTTCATGGCCCTATTTGGGGTTTTCTTGGCAAAGATACTGGAGGGGTTTGCCATTTCCTTCTCCAGTTCATTTTGCAGATGAGGAAACAGACAAATAGGGTTAAGTGATTTGCCCAGGATCACACAGTCAGTAAGTGCCTGAGGCCAGATTTGAACTCAGGAAGCGGAGTCTTCCTGACTTCAGGCCCAGCGCTCTCTCCACTGAGCCACCTAGCTGCCTATTCCTAAAGCATAGTTCTGACCAAATCAACCCCCTACTCAGTAAACTCCAGTGTGTCCCTTACTGCCTCTAGGAACAAATACAAACTCTTCTGTTTTATCTCTCTGTCTGTCTCTCCCACAGTGATATTTCTTTTTTTTTTTCTTTTTTGTAGGCAATGGGGTTAAGTGACTTGCCCAGGATCACACAGCTAGTAAGTGTTATATGTCTGAGGCTGGATTTGAACTCAGGTCCTCCTGAATCCAGGGACAGTGCTCTATCCACTTTGCCACCTAGCTACCCCTCACAGTGATATTTCTAAAGCAGAATTCTGACCATAACACTTCCCAGTTCAAAAATCCACCAATGGCTCCCCACTCCAGGATCAAATAGAAATTTCTGTTTGGCACTAAGAGCCCTTCACAACCTGGTTCCAATCTACTTTTCAAGGCTTGTTAAGCCTCATTCCCCTTAATGAACTCTGTCTTCCAACCGAACTGGGCTTCTTACTGTTTCATGCAAACAGCACTCCGTTTTTGTCTTCAAGCCATTTCAGCACTCACCGCTCAGCCAGAATCTCCAGGGGTGGAATTCCCTGGTCCCAACTCTTCACCATCCACGCTGTATCAAAGGCTGCCAGGAAACCTCGAGCACAACCTGTACCCATGGGCCAAAAAGGCTAGGGGGGAAGAAACAACCAAGAACTTAGCATCCCACAGCCTGGATACTAAAGGTTCCCACTGTTCCTTATGGTTCTTATATCCATGCAGCCTTTTGGGCTCACTGACAGTCATAGAAACCAGGGAGAGGACCAGTTTTCCATGGCATAAGGACAACCAGTCCAGTTCCCCTGAAGCCCAATCATTCTGATTGGTCTGAGTAAAAATGGACAACTTAGAACTAAGAAGGATAACCTCAACTTTATCCTTCAAATTAAATATGTGAACACACGCACGTAAGTGATCAAAATCTCATCCTGCTAGAATACAGAGCTGGCTCCCTTTGTTTTTCCAGTAAGTAAATGGGCTTTCAGAAGGCCAAGAGTTTTCTTTAATGAGTACTGCCAACTGGCCAAAGACTTCCCTGAGACGTTCCCTGAGCCAAGTGTGATGGAGCAGTTACTGTTTGAGTTAACAAGAGCCCAGGAACCCACCCCATTATGTAACAGGAATTTTGTTCTTTCAAATGCAAGTTTATTTCCCAAAGTAGAAAGCCGAGACAAACAGTACCTCTAATAAGCTGTCTCCCACCAAGGCTACGAGGAGCTGATGGGATTGTCTCTCCCGAACTAAGGCTGCGTTCTCAGAGGCATACATGGAGGTAAAGTCGAACATCGCCACGTCAGGCTGGCCGTAGTGATTCATGGCAAAGTCCAGGGAAGGCAGCTGGTAATTGGTAGCAAAGTCGGCTGCTTCCCTTGCATAGGACAGCAGGCAGTCTTGGTTTACGTTCTCTGGGCCAAGCAGGAGCTCCGTATCAACATAATCCTGGGGGGGGGGGGGACAAATGACATGTCACAATGGGGATCAAGACTAGAACTCAAAAATGGAACTGAAAGAATGATGGGCAAAACGAGGGAAATAATGTGAAGGAAAACAACATTGAATGCCATGGGAACTCAAAACGATGCAACTTCCCACCATGACTCCAGACAATTAATGGGGACACACCACCCTGCTCTCAGCCAATGTGGGTGGAATGGGTCGCACATCACCAGACATAGGCAATACATTGGTTTGTTTGGCTCAACTGTACTTCTTGGTTACAAGAGAGAATTCAAATATGTACAGAGGTGGTTACTGAGAAATGACAATGATGTTTATAAAAGCATCGGTAAAACATTTTAAAAATGATCACATCAAAAGAATGCCACAGAGTATATATGGATTCAGAAAAGAATTTGATAAAGAAAAAAATGTTATTTAAAGTTGTCCTTTTCCTGGAAAATGGACAATGACAGGTCCAACTTTGGGATGTTCCAGGCGTTATGCTCCAAAGGGCTATGTCAGACAACTTTGGAGATAGAAAGGACCTTTGAATTCATCTAGGATGGTCACCAGAGGCTATCATTTATTCTTTTACAACATTCATTAAGCACTGCAGGCAAGGAGACACAATCCAACAAGCGCATATTAAATGCCTACTATGTGCAAGGCACTGGAGTAGATGTTGGGGATACAAAGTCAAGAGGAAAAACAATGCCCTGACTCACCAAAAGCAAATACTCTATCCTGGAAAAGAAGCAACAGGTAAACAGACAAACAAACGCATCATAATTTAAGGAGGATGGGAAGAACATTAATAGCTCTTCACTGGAATTAGGAAAGGCTTCCTTTAAGATGCTACCCATGAGCTCAACTTTGAACAAGGGATTATAAATGATACAGAGGAGGAGGGAGTACATTCCAGGCATCATGCAAAGTCTTGGAGGTGGGAAATAATGTAATGAATTCAGGCACCAGTACATAGGCCAGTTTGGTAGGACATAGAATGAGTGAAGGGTGGAGATATGAAATAAGTGTGAAAAGGTAGATAGGAAGCAAACTGTGAGAGGCTTCGCACATCGAGATGAAGATGGAGACACAGATCATAGATGGTAAAAAGGTGAATTTCTCCTAGTCACCCAGCACAAGCCTGCTGCCTGGGCTGCTGGATTTCCAAGAGGAAAGGATACAAGAATTCTCAGTAAATCATATTGCCATAGGGGTGGGGGCATAAAGAGATTGTACTTTATCCTGGAACAGGGGGCTTCCTGAAGGTTCTGGGTCAGAGTTGCTGTTTGTCCTTCGTTCTCGAAGAGGACCGTGACATCAGGAAGGTGATGCCATGACTTGCAGGTAGACTTGGGATGTGGGAAGATTACTTTGCCACCTGTGTGGAAAAGAGACTAAAGCACAAAGAGACTGGAAACAGGGAAGCCTATTGAGGACTATCCTAATAGTCAAGGTGAGTGGTGATGAGGTCTCGAACCAGGGTGGTGGCCACATGAACAGAGAAAGGAGGCACTGCCGTTAGACACGGACTCTCCCCAAGGGCAGTGGATGGCTTGTTTTTACCTTTGGATCTATCCCCAGTGTTTGGCATGGTGCTTGGTGCATGACAGATACTTAATAAGCCACTTATAACTTTATTGATCATGAAAGTAGAGTTGCTATGACTTGGCAAACTGACTGGATATCAAAAATAAAATGTACCAGACCTTATAAGGGAAGGGAAATACTCTGAGCCAAGGGGTGGAGGAGAACAAGAAGGTTGTTCATCCCCATAAGCACCCATTTCTTCTGAGCTCCTCTACCCACCACTTCCCTGCTCCACAGGTGCAGGGGGAATGAGTGGATCATCAGGAATGATGTCTCTGGGGTACCTCCCACTCCTGAGGCAGATGTGATAAACAGGAAGCATGTAAGGAAGGACAAAGAAACTATGAGGGCCAAACAGTACCTCTTAATGTGTGAGCAATGGGAATCCCGGAGGTGGAGGTCATCAGGCTGGGACCTCCCGTCTAGGGACAGAGTACAAGGGGGACCTTTGAATGAAGCTATAGCTTTAGAAAGGGCCTAGACAGAGAGGATAATACCTTGGCTCATCATAAATGAACCAGAACAAGGGTAAGACGGAAGAGAAAAGATATAGGAAAAGAGGGAGTCAGGGGAAAAAAACCCAAGGTGCATCCATAGAAGTAAACAGGTCAACTCAAGGAAATAGGCAAGGGACTTAGGATCCAGAACCAGGGAAAAGGCCAGAGAGATTTTCTTGTGGGCAAAACCCAAGGCACACACCCTGAGTCAGCAGATCAGGTGGAGATCAGGAGAGCTGTTTCAACCTGAAGCCAAAGGGGCTGGACCTATGGCCCAGACTGGAAGAGATCTGTCTCCTCCAGGGACCTCCAGATTGGAGAAGGTGGAAGTAGGAGGAACTATAAAGACAGATATTAGGCCCAAGGAACAAGCCCCAGGGGAAGGTACTGATGACCGGACTGGATACTGCTATTGAGTTGCACCTGGACTGGGAGTATAGCAAGCTTTTAAACCTGTGCCAAGCTCAGTAATGGGAGACGGTTTGTGTGGTTTGTGAACTTGACCGTGAAATTCTCTCACACCACAGTAAAGTGTATCTATAAACACAAAATGACTATATGTACTAGCTTCATGGACAGGCACATCTTCAGAGAAGAAGAAACCTTGCAGAAAAGCCCAAACCCCAAAGGTGATGAAGAAATATCACTGGAGACCTGTGGCAACTGGGAAATGACCTATATGGGGAAGGGGGCGAGGGGTTGGGGGGCTACCAGCTGGGCGCTGCATCATCAGAAGGAGAAGGGAAGAGAGCAAAGATGAAGGAATGGTGGATGGAGTGTGATGGAACAGAGGCCGCAGGGAGAAGAGAAGCTTTGGATCTGGAGCTGGAAGGTCTGGGTTCAAATTCCAGAATGGCCGACTCATTGCCTGTGTTGTTGCCTTGGACTGATCATTTTCTGATTCTTCATTTCCCCTTCTTGGATTGGACGAGGTGGCTTCTAAGGTTCCTTCCAGCCCTGAGTAGATGCCTCCAAATGCATCTCACAGAATAGAGGACCCAGTGCTCTACTACATAGCTCTGAGTTATTTAGCTCATTCATGCCCAATCATAGTACTTCAAGAATTCTAAGCTCTGCAGGTCTAGTAATGTGCACCTGGACTGCAGAAGCCACGTCTTCTTCATCTCCATATCCCTCTTACTGGCAAGTATGCAGCCGGGCCCATAGTAGGTGTTGAGTTCCAAAATGTAGTTATGGTAGACTGCGTCAGGTGCTGAACTAGGAGTCAGAAAAACTTGTGGATCTTGCCTCAGACACTTATTAGCTATGTGACCCCTGGGCAAGGTATGTAAACTTTCTGACCTTTGGTTTCCTCATCTGTATAAGGGGTATAATTTCCTCCTGTATCACTGCCTTGTCATGGTGCAGGGGCTTCCTAGCTCAGTGAAACCATGAGCTATGCTGGGCAGAGTTAACCAAGATGGACAGGTTATAGTGGAGAGAACTGACAAACAGTGATCCCCTGGAGGAGGAAATGGCACACCACTCCAGGATCTTTGCCAAGGAAACCTCATAGACAGTATTCTATGGTCCACGGGGCCATGAAAAGTCAAATGTGACCGAACAACAAATAATGGGTGTAATAATTCCTATTGGATAGTAACTACCTCAGAGGTGCAAATAAGTGACTGTTTATGAAACACCTTATAATTGTCAGCTCTCACTAGCAACCACATCAGAAAGTGAGTCCTCTGTATTACCAGACTCTAGCAGGAGGCCTTGACCTGGGGTCCAGAAACTTTATTTTTTAAAATTTATTTTAAAATTAAAATTAAATTATTTTAAAATATTTTGATAACTGTATTTCATTGTAATTAGTTTCCTTTGTGTTTTATTTTATGCATGTAAAACATTGCTCTGAGACGAGGCTGATAGACAGCATCAAGCTACCAAAGGAGTCCATGATACAAAAATGGGTTAAGAACCCCCTATTCTGCAGGGACAGCTAGGTGGCTCAATAGATAGACCCGAGCCCAAATCCTGCCTCAGAAACTTACTAGCTGTGTGACCCTGGGCAAGTCACTTAACCTCTATTTGCCTCAGTTTCCTCATCTGTAAAATGGGGAAAATAATAATACCTACCTCCCAGGGTATCAGATACGATATTAATTGTGAAATACTTAGTACAGTGCCTGGCACTATAAAAATTTTATCTATTATAATTAGTTCTACAGGAAAGTTGTGTATTCTTATGATTCATGGTGACTGCAAATGTGACCCCAGAGCGACAAGAGTTATGAAGACCCCTGGTTCAATGAAAAGGTCACAGGGCCAAGAGAATTTGAGAGGTTGGTTGTATTCCTGGCCTTAACCACCAGCTGGCTGGCTAGTTCACATGTCCTTCCACTAGCCTGTCTGCACCTCCAGCCCCTCATCTGTCCAAAAGGTGCATTCACTGGTCACCCTCATCCCTACATCACAGGGCTCTTGCACAGAGAACAGGAGATAAGAAATGGTGCAAAGGTCATGAGAAGCCCTTCAAAATGAGCTCCTACTGTTAGGAACATTTCACACAGAGCTGGGTGAGACCTTTGAGAAGAGTTTAATGGATTAAAAAAATGTTAAGTTAAATTTTCAAAAACGACAATAACACCCCACTGTCCTGGGGCTTTAAGATTTACCAGGTGTTTGCTTGAAGGACCTTATGAGGTGAGGAGGGGAGTTATCACCAATCCCATTCTAGAAGTGAGGAAACAAGCTTAGATTAGCTAAGTGACTTGCCTAGAGTCACAAAACTAATAGATAGTTGAACTCAGGGCTTCTGGCTCCAAAGCCTTGCTGCCTCCTTCCAAGGTGAAAAAGCTACATGCTCTTGATTTTCTCAGAGATATTCTGGCAAATGCCTTGCCCCACAGCCTGAGGGCAGTGCCACTGTGACCACCTGGAGTCATATGCCAACGTGAACCACTCTGCGGTCCCTCTTCCTGGGAGCTTCCTCAACAGCCTCTGCCAGGGTGTTACACATGCCAACACAGAGAAAGCCCTGGGGAGAACTGGATTACAGATGCCGTGTGAGTCGCTGCCGGAGAAACCTGGCAAGAGAAGGGATGCATTCTTTCGAGGCAAGCGGTGATGACTGAGCAAGGTGTGTTTCGCCCAGAGAACGATGCTGACCTCTCATTGCTGGATCCTTATCTCACTACTCTCTAGGGCTTGGGAACTGAGAGTACAAACTCTAGGGACACTTAACACTCTGTGTTCTTACCACTGTTCTCCAGTCACAGCCGCCCTGGGTATCTGATAGTCAAGCACCAGGAGATCAGAGCCAATACAAAGAGAGGCATTGCAGCAAGAAAGAGGGACTAGTTGGTGGCCAGACAAGGCAATGAAAGATAAATAAAGGACCCCTGCAACCCAAAAGCAATGCTGAAAAATACTTGAACTTTGATGAATCATAATGAACATTCTTAGTCTTTGAGAGCTGATAGTGAAAGGAACTTCCTCTCTGAAGAGAGGTGTAGAGACTCCAGATGTGGAATGCGGTATACACTGTCAGAAGTGGTCACTGCATTGGTTGGCTGCGTGTAAATGTTTTTCTTTGTTACAAGGGTGAGTTCAGTGGAGGGTAGCAGTGGGGAGAGGGAATAACAGGGGTATGAAAACAAAAGACAGTAATAAAACTTCAAAAGTGCAAACGATCACTGTCCCCCAGAGTCCTGGAGAAGAACTTTTCCAGGGGGCGTCCACCTACATTCACAATGACCCCCTTGTCCAGGAGGCTCTGTTTCTTTGCTGTCATCACAAAGTAGTGAGTACTGTCCTTGTAGTAGACGATGTTTTCTAGGTCAATCCCTACAAGGAGACAAACACAACATTCATCAAACAAGGCATAGGATACTCTCTCATTATTTCATCTCTTGGCATCCTCAGGCTATATGTTGTTATAAAATCTGGCTTCGGTTAGTGGCCAGGGTGGGACATGTACAAGAGTTTACTTAACTAAGCATAGCTAGCTGATTCCCACCAAGGCACTGACTGCTTGGGTTGAATAAGATGACAAAGAATTGTTTTTACAGATATCCCCATCACCATGTTGTCCACATGGTAGACAAAGCTTACAGTCGGGGCAGGAATGATGATCCGCTAGATGGCATAGTGTATAGAGTGCCTGGCCTGGAGTTAGAAAGAACTGAGTTCAAATAGGACCTCAGATAAGTAATAACTGTACCACCTTGGGCAAATCACTTAACCTCTGCCTCAGTCTCCTCAGCTTTAAAATGGGGATAATAATAGTACCTTTCTCCCAGGGCTATCATGAGGCTAAAATGAGATGATACTCATAAAGTGCTTTGCAAACTTGAAAGCACTACATAAATACTAGCTACTGTTATTGTTCTCATTATTATTTTTACTCAAACCAAACAGATGTGGTCTTCAGAAAGTAATCCTTGCTGAAAATACTTAGCACTAGAAGACAGAACCAGGAACAAGGGGAGAACTTACAGGGAGGCTGATTTTATTTCAATGTAAAAGGAATAGCTTAGCAATTCCAGCTGTTCAACAAAAGAATGTGCTGCTGGGATGGAGCAATAATAATGAATTCCCTGTCAATGGAAGTATTCAAGTAGGATGATGGACAGTCACTTTTTGGGGAGGAAATGTGCAGTTTATTTGGACTTCAGGTGGGGGCTGGACTAGATGAATCCTGAGGTCTCATATAACTTTGAGATACAACATTATCCATTTGAAAGAAGGAAAGTTAACTGAGACATTGGGACCTCTATAGCACAGAAGACACGGCATCTTGCTATTAGGACACAGTGAGAGACAGTGTGGAGTAATAGATAGAGACAGCAGGTCTCTGAATTAGAAAGACCTGGGTTCAAGTGTCACCTCTGACCCATCCTGGCTGTGTGACCTTGGGCAAGTCACTTAATCCAGATAACTCTTGAAAACTCTAAATAGTAGAGGACTTGCTGAACTTCTTTGGAAAAGGGAATTTCATCCCTGGAAATTCTCTCCACCAAAGAAATCCCAGGTCTAGACCAAAAACTGAAAAAAAATTAGGACAAGGCAGAGGTACTCATGAGAATCCCTTTAATCCTATTCAATATGAAGCAGCAACAGACAAATCATCTCCAAAAGAAACACAAGCTGTAGTCATATAGAGCACTCTTCCCCTAGACACTCTGACTTCTGCCAACAGAGAAGACTAAAAACAAATTTCAAAAGGACTCCACAAAGACATAGCATATAAAAAGGCCCAAGTGAAACATTTTTCAAAATTCCTTTATTCTGATCACTCACCATTAAATACCTCCTGTGTGCCAAGCACTGAGCCAAGCTCAGGAGCCTGAACATCTCAAAGGATGAAAACTCCACGGGGGCCAGAACTGTTTAATTTTTGTCTGTATTGCTAGCACCTGTCACGGGGGTTGGCATATAGTAAGCACTCAACAACACAGATTTAGGTCTAGAAGGGACCTTAGGGGTCATTTAGTTCAGTCCCTTCACTTTATGAATGGGAAAATCAAAGCCCAGAGAAGGTGACTTAACTAAAGTCACACTCAAACATAAATAAGATAACACATCAAGTCTTTCATTAAACCATGAAACATACCCAGAGTTTACTTATCTGGGGAAAAACATTTTTGTCTATTTTGATTTAAATAATAAAAAAAAGATACTCGTTGATGAGATTCCAGTTTAACATTCTTTTTACAAATGAGGAAACCAAGGGGAAGTGTCCTGCTCATGACTACGAGGCTGGTAAGTGGCAAAGGCAGGAGCAACAAAGCAGGTCTTGTGTCCCCCTGATGTCCAGGGCTCTCCTCCTCTACCACACTGCCCCCAAGTCCTTCCTTAGAGGTCTCTCTCACTCAGATACCCAAATGAATCTGTGATTTCTTCAATGGGGGGGTATTCCCTCCGACACTACACAATGCAATCTATCCATTCCTATCTAGCCTCAGTGACTCTCATCCATTTCCTCACCAATGTGTGACACATTGAGATTCTACCTGGTAGGCTGGTTGGCCTTTCTCCTGACCTCACAAGGTACCAGATGAGCTCACAGGCTGTGTCACCCTTGCTCTTGGCACATGACCATAGTTTCTGATCATATATTTCTTTGATGATACCCTTTGCTCCACTGGTCCTTTATAAGCCCTTATTTGTAATGGGTGGTTACTTACACCCATCATGTGCTTCTACTGACCTCTGGGTGATAACTCATTTTTAATGCTTCTGAGATAGTAGTGGTCCATGACTTGAAGCCATATAGCAACAGGACTACCCTATGCTGATTAAATAGACTCTGAGCATCCCCCACCTCCCAAAAGCCAGAGTTCACTCAAGAGTCAAGTGAACAAGAATTTATTAAGTGCCTACTATGTACTATGCACTGTGCTAAGCCCAGAATCTATCAAGAAAGGCAAAAAATGATCCCTGCCCTCAAGGAGCTTATATTTTAATGGAGAGACAAAATACAAACAGCTACATACATACAAGATATATACAGGATAAACTGGAGATAATCTCAGAGGGAAGGCAATGGGTTTTAGAGGGACCAAGAAAGGCTTCTTGCTGAAGGTGGTGAGATTTTGAAAAGATGACGTCTAGAGATTAACTCCTTGCTATCACTTTATCAAAGATACTTTTCCCTCCAGAGTCCTCAGCCCCTAAACACCTGGCTGCTTCTCCATGTTTATTTTAAAAGCACTGGACTCTAAAAAAACTAGACTTTAGAAACTGGGGGACAGGGTGGGGGATGGACTTTTAGAAGGGTGTGTGGATTGGAATTTGGGAAGGTGGTGGGAGAGGACAGGGGAACTTTTGGAGGGGTGGGTGAAGTGGAGGGTTGAGAGGGTGGGGGAGAAGATAAGGTAACAGGGATAGAGTGAAAGAGGCTGAGAAAGAAAATAATGAGTAAAAATAAGATAGAGGGCAATTCACAAATAGTAATTACAACTTTGAATGTAAATGGGATGTTTATAGCATCTCTCTTTGTGGTGGCAAAGAACTGGAAACTGCAATCACTTGGGGAATGGCTGAACAAGTTGTGGTGTATGGTTGTGAAGGAATACTCCTGTTAAAAAAAAATGAAGAGGTCAGTGATCTTAGGAAGGCATGGAAAGACTTGTCTGAAATGCTGAAGAGTAAAGTGAGCAGAACCAGGAGAACATTTTATACAGTAACAGCAATACTGTTTTAAGAACGACTTTGAGTGACTAAGTCATTTTGACTATTATAAATACACAAATTAAAAATAAAGTGCATATGAAGAGAGATACAATCTGTATACAGAGAAAGAACTGATAAATAGAAGTATGTATAGAATAACTTCACATATGTATATATGGAAATAAAGAAGGGAAGCAAAAAAGGAAAAACAAGAAATTTACATGATAACTTTGTTGTATATTTGGAGGGAATAGCAAGTTGTACACGGTAGATTGCAGTTTCATGTGTGATCATCTTTTTTTTTTCTTAATTGTACTGCATTAGGGAAATGCTTTTTTTGTTCCCGGAACTGAAAATAAAATAATTTTTTTTTAAAAAGCACTGGACTCCAGCCTGGTCTTGAGGGAGATGAAGGACCCACCTGTTTCTTCTTTAAGATCCTGAAAGAACTTCTGATTGAAGATGAAAGCCACCCCACTGATCTCTTCTACCTTGGCCTCAGCTGTGGTGTTTCTGTTGATGAAGTTGGCAGTGATTGCAATAGCCAACTTCCCACGGAATTCTTTCCTTCTGAAACCTGGGTGGAGAAAAAAGAAAAAAGCAGGCCTTTTCTCTGGGACAGGCCTTGAGGGCTGAGCAAGGTTAATGTGGTCACTGTTCTTCAAGTCCTCATAAACACGTGAGAGCAGGACCGGAGACCGGGAATGGTTATGCCACTCCAGGGAATTGGGGTGGGCCGAAGCCCAAAACCCTGAGGTTTGTACATAGAGACAAGATGTGGCTGACTATCTACTCCGAGCTCTTCCTCCTTCCCTCCCCTTTCTTTCTTCCTTACGTCCTTTGTTGTTTAAATTTTCTTTGTTTGTGAATTTAAGAAACATCAAAAAAGAACATTTCCATATGTATAAAGTAGCCCAGAAAAAGATGAATATGTGAAAGTGAGACATCACATGGGTTCTTTATGGACTGTTGGTTTTGTTTTTATCTTTTGATAAGTGTATTTCAATATAATCAATTTCCTTTATTTCAATATAATCAATTTCCTTTAAAATTCTCCCTTCTATGTAATCCTATGTGTAGGTCATTTTCTGCATTTAAAAGCGCCACTCTGAGAGGTTCGTGTGGGTTCCAGCAGACTTCCAAGGGGTCTACAACACAAAAGAAGTTAAGAACCTCTGCCCCATTTGTTACACAGAGCTGGCTTTAAAATAAAAATCAAAAGAAGTTATGATGAATTCAATATGTTACTTTCAAAGCTGTCCTGCTTATCTGTGTTTCCTTTGGAAGTTCCCTCACTCCTCTCCTATACACAGTTATAAAAATATTTCAATGACTTTGTTGTAATCCTTTTGCTAGCTTCTCCCTCTCCTCAAAAAGCAACCAAAAAAAAAAAAATCACGATCTTTGTTTCAAAAAACAACAAAAAATAAAATCATAATCTTTGTCTCAAAAAACAACAAAAAAGAAAATCACAATCTTTGTCTCAAAAACAACAACAAAAAAAAGAAAAATCACAATCTTTGTAACAGATTAGCACAGTCAAGCAAAAACAAATCTACAATTTGTTCTTGCCTCTTCTGAAAACTCCAAGGCCAGACCGCTTCTGTCGTTATCCTAATACAACCCAATCTCATCCCCACCAGTGATATGGTGAGGATATTGCCTCATTTTCCTCAAGAATGGATTCTTTGGAGTGTTTGAGAGGAAGTCTAAGTAAGGGACCTCCATGTACAATGCTGAGTGCCAGCTGGCTACATGGGGCGAGCGAGCCAGGGGGGTAAGTCTCCCATCAGTCAGGTGGACCCTCTCAGATGGCACAGGGACCCATGCCAGTAGCACAGTGGCTTCCCGGTCCCTCCCTCTGAATTACAGAGGCTTTGCTGATGGGAAATATGGGGTGCTACCTAAGGGAGGATCTGACTTCTAGGATCACAGAATCAGAGCTAAAAAGGATCTCAGGGGCCATCTGAGTCCAAAAATGAAGAATAATTTCTGGAGCCAAGTTTCAATGTGACTAGGTGTGGTCATATCTGATAATATTGGGGGAAAAAAAAGTCATCCAGATGACAGAAGGCAAAAGGCAGGTGAGATGGCCCTTTTCCCTAAGGAGCCTGAGTACCTGCTACAGGTCTGGGATGGAATTAGGCAGCAGCTCCCTTTGCACAAATGGGAGGGAGCATAAGCTAAGCCTCTGTTCCCAGAAGGGATTCAGAGGTATGGTATGCCATCAGATGACAGATCTCCAGATCTGACTCCTACCTCAGTCATGTTCTGTCTCTCTCTCTCTCTCTTTCTCTGTCTCTTTCTCTCTCTCTTTCTCTCTCTCTCTGGGATCTTCCTTACCTGGGCAACCATTGAAATGACTCACCTCTGGGAGCAAAACCTGCCCTAGTGTTCACCCCACACCCAACACTAACCAGTCAATCACCCCAGCAGACTTGCTTGGCTGCCCATGTTCCCCCTGAACATGGGGTATGATGAGAAGGCAAACCTGTCAGGTGTCAGCGGCTTTCCAAATAAAGGAACACAGTGCTGAAAGTACGGAATCATGCGAAGGTAGCAGGACCAGCCAACTATTTCCTGGGCTGGGAAAGAGCTAGGAGCCAATGGGCTGGTAGCAGTGATAACGTGGGGCTGAAAGGGGTATGGGAAGAATAGATGTACCACGTAGGCACTAGGGTTCAGAGAAATGGAGGATTCTCCCGGCAGCATGTATACTCTGGTCCCTCTGAGCTCAAAGCTGAGTAGGTGAAGAATCAAGTATTGATTAAGCATTCACTGTAAGCCAGGTACTATGTTAAGCACTAGGAATTCAAAGACAAAAATCAGAGTAATCTCCATTCCTTAGGCATATGAGTGATTCTATGTGTCCCAGTGGTCAGTGTAAGCCAAGTTCCTATTAGTGTGAACAAAGAATCACTGAAGGGGTCACATTCAAACTCACGCTGTGTATTTCCAGTGGACTAGAATTAATTACCATATTTTACATAATTATAACTTTGAAGAATGTGAATTCAAATACATGACCATTTCCAGGGATCCATTCTTTGCATTGTTATTTGCACTAATCAGAACCTAGCTCTGGTCTCTTGATAATCCTTGCTGGAGTGCAAACACCCCACCCCCACCCCCTACCCCCTACCCCCTGCAAAAACCTAAAAATCTGGTTGCCACCAAAGCAAGGTAACAAGATAAGGTTCCTTGCCCTCCAAAGGTCTATATAGCCTTAAGGCTCATCCAGAGATACATACATACACACACACACACACACACACACACACACATATACACATATATATACACACATATACATACACATACATAGATAGATAGATAGGTATATGTTTGGGTTTTTTTCCATATATACATACACATATATATACATATACATATATACACATACACATACATACACACACACACACACACACACACACACACACACACGTTTGGGGTCTTTTCTCTTTTTAGTACCAATCCCACAGATCACAGAGCACACCCTCTTTGTCAGAAGTGGTCAGTTAGTCTACAAACCTTCACGAAGCATTCACATCCCACCCAGTCCAGGCCTTTCTCTCCTCACCCACACCATCCATGCTGAATCCCCTTAGAAAAGGACACCACTCTCTCACCTTCTAGAGTATTCCTGCGGCCATCAGCACCAATGATGACATCAAACTCAAAATCAGATAGCGGGTGATCTGCAGGTAGAATTTCTGCACGCCAGCCTATTTCTAGAGAGAAAGGGAAACATGGTGAGTTGGTTTAAGGATGATCAAAATGGCCACAGGGGTCATGGGCCTACCCTTGATTTGTTTCATGAGAGAAGGGAACTCAAAGGATTCACAACTCAATCGTTCTTAAAATATTTCCTCACTACATCACCAATCCTTTCACATAACTTACCAGCCCCTAAAGGATTGTAGGATTAGGGACCGAGCTAGAAAGGACCTTCTGGGTCACTCTGTCCAAAGCCCTCATTTTGCAAATGAGGAAAATGAGGCCCAGAGAGATGTCATAACTTATCTAAAATAACACAGACAGTTAGTTGGCAGACCTAGGATTTAAATGCAGGTCTTCCAAATTTAAAAAAAAAAATCAGTCTATTTTGCATAGCACCCTGCCACCTCTCTGTAGTGGGGTGCCATTTAACAAGCTTGAATAAGTTTCCCTTGCTCTGTTGAAGACAGCCCTGCCTTTAAGGAAACAAATTCTGAAAAAAATCTTCCTGGCTCCCCTAAGCCAGGATCAAAAGTCATTTCTAGGGGTAGTGAATGACTACCAACTGTATACAAAGTAACCCTTCCTTTCCCAGGGGTAGAAAATGGGGGTGGGGTGTGGAATCCCAACTGCCAATTGACTGACACGAGAGAAAGCAGAGGACCCAGCAAAAGGGAGGCTCCACTGAGGGTCTAAGTGTCACGGAAGCCCCAGGAGGATTTCTGAAACCAAACTAAGATCTAGGAAAAATTTGGGTTCGAATAAGCCTGCAATAAGAGGGAAAATTAAGGAATAATGAACAAATAATAATTATTCATAATAGCACACATCTATCAAACTGAACACCAATTCATTTCTTAGTTTGTTATCCGTGTCAGAGAGGCAGCATGGGATAATAGCCACAGGGACGGCCTTGGGTGGGGAAGAAGGCCCAGGGGAAGTCCCACATCTGACCTATACTAGCTTCTTGGGATAATTGTTTGCCCCCTCCTTCCCCCAGTTTCTTCCAATCTAAAATGGAGATAATAAAACTTTCACAGTAGAAAGTGAACTGGCCTTGGAGTCAGGAAGACCTGGGTTCAAGACCCGCCTCTGACTGACCATTCAATGCCCCAAACAACTCTCCAAACTTTTAGACTGTGGACAAGTCACCCAAAGCTCTTCAAGCCAATGAAAGCACAGGTCCAGATTGAAAAAAAAAATCTTTCTTTCTAATCAGCTTTTCTTTACTCACGCCACAGTGGATGGCTCCCCTAAAAGCTCTAAGCAATCCCTTCACCAACTGACCTGTTATCTCTTTCCTCCATTTTATTATTACCGACCCCATTTAGGTTTTCTTGGCAAAGATCCTGGAGTGGTTTGCCATTTCCTTCTCCAGCTCATTTTATAGATGAAGAACAGAGGCAAACAGGGTGAAGTGACTTGCCCAGGGTCTTACACAGTTAGTAAGTGTCTGAGGCCAGATTTCAGCTCAGGAAGATGAATCTTTCTGACCCCAGGTCTAGCATTCTATCTACTGTACCATCTAGCTGCCCCTATTCCCTTTACTACTATTATTACTAATAACAGCTAACATTTATGTAGTGCTTACTATGTGCCAGGCACTGTGCTAAGTGCTTTACAATTCTCTCATTTGGTCCTCACAATAACCCTGGGAGTTAGTTACTATTATTTCCCTGATTCTACAATTGAGGAAATTGAGGCAGACATAGATTAAGTAACTTGTCCAGGGTCACACAGCTAGTGGCAGCTGAGATCAAATTTGAACTCAGGTCTTCCCGACTCCAGACCCAATGCTCTATGCACTGAGTCACCTAGCTTTCTCCTCTCCCTCTTCCATTGGTTTGTGAGATCATAGACTTAGAATTGGAATAGAATTTAAGAGTTTATTAAGTCCACATGGCTTGCCCAGGTCACACAAGTAATACTTGCGTCTCCTCCCCTATACCCCCACATAAATATAGATATATCTAGGAGTTGTCTAAAGCAATTTCAGTATTTTACTAGGGATTGGCTTTTTAAAATATAAAAATGCTTGGGAAATGAGAAAAGTGTGTGAGTATTTTATTCTCAACCAAACAAAACAGGGCTTCTGGCTCAGACCATGTGGCCATGGCGCCCTCCTTATGGGGCTTCCTGGGGACATGCCTGAACCACAGTGTCAGCTGTCTGAGAGAGGAAAAGAACTCTCTGGGAATTGAATTAGCAAAGTGGAAATAATGGAGCTACAGAGGCTCCCACTGAAGGTGAGAAGGGGATATGGACTGAGCTAACCCAGAAAACTGTCAGGTAGAGTAATAGCCTAGAAACTTGGAGGGGTTTAATTTATACAGATTTTGTTTTAAGTCAGAACGAGAAGGACAAATAGTCCCTACTTTGGTTTTCCTGATCTTCAGGAGGCTCGAGGACCTTCACAAACTCCACGTTCACGTGGATTTCCACTCCCAACATCAGGGCCACCTTAAATAAGATGAGCTGGAGCTGTCGAATACCTGTAGGAAGGTGAGGGAAAATAGAGTTACTTCAGATGCTCGTGATCCTGTAGCGTAGCCCGAGTGACGCTGGATAAAGACCAGGTTTCGGTCAACAATTATCAGCCATCAAATGGCCTAGTAGGAATGCCCCACAGGCCTGGAAACTTCTAACCCACCTATCCCAGCTCCCAGTAGAAGTCTGCGGCTGGCCAAAGCAAGATCCAATCAATCAATAAACATTTATCAAGTGCCTACTCCGTGCCAGGCATTGAGCTAAGCCCTGGGGATACAAAGAAAAGCAAAAGATAGTCCCTGCCCTCAAGGAGATCACAGTCTAATGGGGGAGAAGATACAAAAAAAAAAAGAAAGAAAGAAACCGAAAGAGGGAAGGGGGAGATATTTGGGCACAAGGACATGATGAAGTTCAGAGGGGTGCAGCCAGCCATTGGGAGATGATAGGACAGCTGCCCTGGATCCCCTCCTTAAATGGAGGAATTGGGAGGAGCCCTCCACTGTCCCCCCTTCAGTCTCTTCAGTCAGAGGGAGGAAGGAGCCCCCAGGGCTGTCCCTGAGGAGGCGTGAGTTTCAGTGTTGGTGTGATCCTGCAAGATGATGAGACGTGGGAGAACATGATGAAGCTCAGGGGTGCAGCCAGGTGAGAAAGGACTGCGTACAATTCATTTGTACAGGGACTCAGGGTCTAGGTAGACCTCTTTCCAGAAGGCCCCTGGCTCAACAACAGCCATATTATTATTGATCCCTCTTCACTCTCACCAAGGAACTTTCTCCTCTATAAAACTGATTCCTAGAGTCCCCACTTTTTTCCTTTCTATTCCTGGCTTCTTCCGTGAGGTCTATGTCCTACCCAGTTGATTGCAGCTCAGTACACCTAGACTCCACAAAAATGTTAGTGGTTCTCCGTTCCTTGATGATGATATTTCAATCATTTGCCCTATCCCTCCAGTCACCATTCTCTCTAACATCCCTGTCCAATACACACATCTTTGGGCCCCTCTGCCTTTCATGTCTATCAGAATGTAAGCTCCCTGAGGACAGGAACTCTTTGCTTTTATTTCTTTTCCTAGCACTTAGCACAATGCCTGGTACATATCATTAATAAATTCTTTTTCACTGGCCTAGGAGTCAAAAGACAGGGTCAAGAGCTAGCTCTTGTCACTTAACTAACCATGTGACTTTGGGCAAGTCACCTTACCTCTCATAGAATCACAGAACTTGAGAGCTGGAAGGAACCTTATCTCCCATCTGATCTACCCTATATATGAAAGGAATTACCATTAGAAGAATCCAGACAAGTGGCCATCTGATCTCCTCCTGGAGACCTCTGCTAAGCCTCAGTTCCCTCATTTGAAAAGTGCTCTCTGAGTCCCTTCCAACTTTATCATTTTGGGGGTCCACTCACATAACCTACCTCTACCTCCCAGGGCCATCATGAGGCAAGCACTTGAAAAAGTGTAGAGCGCCAGACAAGCAGGCCCTATCATTACATTCTTTTTTATCTGCCCCTTCCTGGTGAAGTTGGGTCTGGTCCAACCTATGTGTCTCCCTTTATAGCTTCACAATCCATTTCTGCGTTTCAAAAGCAGCTGCTTGTCTTAACTGTACTTTTAAAGGCATTAGGACTTAATATTTATGCAGACAATCCCAGTCTCCTGTCTAGGGAGTCTCCCCTAAATTCACAATCCCTTCCTGGGGAGATGGGATATTTCAAAGTCAGCTATAAATGATTTTTAACGAACTCCTATCCATTCTCCACAAATGCAGAAGGTCAGGCAAATGACTGGATGGGAGTCAACAAAGGAGACCCCTGGGATCAACAGGCAGGAGGGAAGGCGGGATTGCCTACAGGCTTCAATGCAGTTATGCTGCATGCATGGGTGGGCTTGCTCCTTCATCACGTCCCACACCTTTCAGGATGTGTAAGCTACTTTGGGGGATGCCTAAAGTGTGTTTGTGCGGAGGGGGACTCCTCCCAGGAGCATGCTGGGAAATGTTTAACCACGAGCTCTCCTGGGTGGGGGGAACGTACTCATGACAGACTTTTAAGTTTAATTCGCATTATTAATTAACATTTTCTCCACCACTTTTGTAAGTCCAGACGATCAACAAAACACTAAACCAAGCCCTGATTTGTAGGTTTGCTGATTTCTGAAGTATAAATGCTCACACTGAAAAGCTTAACAATCAGCTCTGCCTATTGAAGCTGGCTCCAACACAGCCCCATCTCCTCTAGCCTGTGGAATGTACCACGATGCTCCACCAAGGGGCAGAGGGGCTATGACAGGAAGAGAGATGAAAGGTGAAGACTGGAAGAATGGGGAGGTGGAGGGGCGTTCTTGGCCTGGAGCAGGAAGGGAAGAGGTGGCCAAGCTGCTACTTTTACCCTGGGGTGATCACTCTGCAGGGTTTGCCCACCTGCCCCTCATTCAGGGGAGGACACTGATTACTTCCCATTTGCTGCCAGAATCCTACCTGAAGAGGGGAGAGGAGAGGGTTTCCCAGGAGAGGAAGTGGGATTTACCACCCCCAGCTCCCAGGAGCCTCTGCAGCTTCTGGAAGAGGGACCACATGATAAACTAGGGAGAAGTAGCCCAGGGTAAGGAAGATCCAGGGTTCAGGTTCCACCCCAGACATGCACTGACTCTGGAACTCTGGGCAGGTCACTCAGCTTCTCAATGACTCAGGGAATGCTCTTAAGGCTAGAAGATGCAAAACAGGTGCTGATCTGATCTGCATTGCTGAAGAGAGGGATTTACTTAGAGCTCTTCTTTGCTGATGCAAGAGGAGGGAGGGAGGGAAGGAAGGAAGAGAAAGGAAAGGAGGAAGGAAGGAAGGAACAGAGAGAAGAAGGAAGGGAGGGAGGGAGGAAGGAAGGAAGGAAGGAGAAGAAGAAAGGAATGGAAGAAGGAAGGAGAGAAGGAAAAGACAGAGAGAGGAAGAAGAAGAAAGGAAAGGAGGAAGGAAAAGAAGGGAAAGAGGGAGGGAGGAAGAAGGAACAGAAAAAAGGAGGGAGGGAAAGAAGGAAGGAAGGAGAGAAGAAGGAAGGAAGGGAGGAAGAGGGAATGGAAAAGGGAAGGGAGGAAGTTTATACTTCCAGCCTTCTCTAATTCTAAGGCTGTAATAATCTCAAATATCAAAGCAGTCACCATATTGGCATCTGACTTAATCTGAAGATCCCCTTTGCAGTCTATTTTAGGCAAGTTATTTCTCCCATCTCCCTAGTCTGCCCCAATCCCAACCTTAAACCTTTGCTCCAGCTTCTAAGAAGAGCCCTTGAGGCCTGAGCCCTCCATCTTTAGCCAACACTTCACATTGTATTTAAAGAAAGCCACGCTCAGAGGACAAAATCCTACACTCTCACAGTCAGAAGACTCCCCGTTACTTGCACTGCATGTGACCCTGACCATATGGCCTCTGCCCTGGACAAGTCATGCTTTGAAAATTCTGCTGAGTTCCAGGACACATATTAGGAGAAACTGACAAGTTAGAACTCCTCCAGGCAGGCCACCAGGATATTAATGACAAATCAAAGCTATGCAATATAAGGATTATTTGAGAAAACTTGGGATATTGAACTAAGAGTAGATTAGACTGAGGGGAAGGAAGGGAAACCATAAAGGTGTTTTCAGCTATACAAATGGCTTTACTATGTTTACCGGGGCAAAATGATGTCCAATCAAACCCAAATCCAAGGCAGATGAATGTACCTTTGGATTAGCACTGCCTGCTTGGGCTCTAACTCATGAAGGCCCTTGTTAGAGGCATAGGTTCTAGGAACCTCATAGGAAGTAGGAGATGAAAGACACTCATTGGACAGGATTCAAACCAACTTTGTTGACAAAACTTAGAGAAACTGGGATAGAAATCTCAGCCCAGGGAATCAGCAGAGTCCCAGGCAGCTGGTGGCACAGGAGATAGAGCACTGGGCCTGGAGTCAAGAAGACCTGACTTCAAATCCTGCCTCAAATACATACTAGCTATGTGACCCTGGACAAGTCACTTCACCTCTGACTGCCTCAGTTTCCTCATCCGTAAAATGAGGAAAATAATAACAGCACCTATGTCCTAAGGTTATTTTGAAAATCAAATGAGGTAATATTTGCAAAGCCCTTACTATAGTGCCTGGCATACAGTAGCATTTAATAATATAATAAGGTATTTTTTAGCCCAGTGAGAAAAATCAAGATTTTTTTCTGTGAAACTTAGAAGACACTAACTGGGGGAATGTTGGAAGGGATGAGATTTGTAAGGAGAGACTGAGCAGTGTCCCCTTCCCGGGTGTTCTGGCCATATGACAATGAGTGAGTGATTTAACGTCTCAGTTCCCTAATCAATTCTAAGTTACAGGAGCTGCCATCTGTATTGGTGAAAGATGTTTGCATACCACAAATGAAATCACCTACAAATTACAGACCAGTCATTGATGTGCACATGTAGAGAGATTTTCTATACACCAGGAGTGCCTCATGCCAAATAAATACAGGTACATGCTTCTCCCACCCTTCAAAAAATTAACTTTCTTTCTATTAGAACCACCCCCAAATAGTATGGACTGCCTTAGGGAGGAGTGATGGCCCTATCACTGAAGCCTGGATGCTCACTCATCAGGGATTCTGCAGAACTAATTTCTTTACAGTGATGATCTAACATTTATAGAGTACTTTAAAATCTGGCAAAGCTCTTTATACATGTTATCTTATTTGATACTTACCAGAACCCTGTAAGGTAGGTGGCAGACCGCTCTGCTCAACCCTGAGAACCCTTGGAATCTGCAAGTCACCTCCCTGAATTCCATCTACTTTCTTCCCTAAAAAATAGGGCTCACTGTCCTACCTTTACTCTTAAGAGGCACCCCACAAGGAGGAAATGCTTCCCTGTTTATCCAACTCTAAAAGGCAACCTTCATACAAACTGACCCAACCCTGGATCTCCATCAGCTCCCCAGAGATGCCTCTGTAGATTCACCCCCACCCAATCTGGAGCTGCCTCAAGCACTTACTGATGTGGTCAATGGAACCCGCGCAGAACTTCCCATAGAACTTTTTGGCACCAAGGCCCCGCAGGTCATGAATGGTGAATGGCCAAAGGTGCAACACGTTGTTCCTGGAGAAAGTATCTCTCTTCTCCACCACGACCACTTTGGCTCCCAGATAGGCAAGTTCAATGGCAGTACGCAAGCCGCAGGGTCCTCCTCCAACCACCAGACACTACAGAAAAGGCAGGAGAAAAACAACTGTCAGTGACCACCAAGCTCACTGTCCTCCAAGAGAGTGGCACAAAGTCAATCAATCAACAAGCATTAGAGGTATGGTAGACAGAGCATCGGACTTGGGGAGATCTGAGTTCAGATCTTGCCTCAGACTCTTACTAGCTGTGTGAGATCTGGGGCAAGCAACATAACCTCTTGGCCTCTATTTCCTCATCTGTAAAATGGGGGTAACAATAGCACCTACCTCACATGGTTATAGTGAAGATCCAATGAGATTGTAAATATATAGTGGCTTTGCAGACCTTAAAGTTTTATATAAATGCTAGCTATTCTTATTAACAGGTACCTACTTTGTATCAACCCTTGTGGTAGGTGTTAGAGATACAAAGACAAAAAGTGAGACCACAAACATTTGTCACTTTGTATGGAGGCTCCATCTTCACAGAGCTCATAGTCTAGTAGGGGCAATAAGAGGTTCAGAGGAGATGGCTAATATCCCAGCTGAAATACCCAGAGAGAAGGAGCAGGGTAGAGTAGCTAGATGGCCAGTCCTGGAATCAGGAAGACCCAGGTTGCCTCTGGGTGAACATGGTCAAGTCAGTTAACCTTTTAGTGCCAATTAGTTAACAAGCATTGATTAGGCACCTACTATGTGCCAGGCACTGTGCTAAGCACTAGGGATATAAGTGTTTGTAGAATGAAACAATGTTTTCTCACAAAAAGATTACATTCTGATAGGAGAGGAACTCTGAGACAATAAATTACACAGGAGCAGCTAATCTGCATCAGTGGAAGACATTTCCATACCAGGAGTTCCTTAGATAAATGAAATCATAGGTCCAAGGAGGAGGAAAAGTACCCAGTGAGATGGAAGAGATCATTTTGAGTTTGGGCAAGGGCTATCAAGGAAGGCTTCACAGAAGATGTGAGATTGGATTTGGGCTTTAAAGGTGAGGTGGCATTTTGCTGGGCCAAGGACAATCTAGCCTGAGATAAAACATCTGACCCATTCAGAGAACAGCAAGTCAGCTAGACAGAAGCCACCACCAATGTAATTTTCCAAATCCAGACACCCCTTCTCGGCTGCCACTCCCTCCTAAGTGCTATTTCCTTTATTGGAATGTAAGTCCTATTAATCCACTGTTGGTGGAGTTGTGAAGCGGTCCAACCATTCTGGAGGACAATTTGGAACTGTGTCCAAAGGCCTATACAACTGTGTAGACCCTTTAACCCAGCAATACCACTACTAGGTCTGTATCCCAAAGAGATCAAAGAAAAAGAAAAAGCTACTATTCGTACAAAAATATTTATAGTAGCCCTTTATGTGTTGGCAAAGAATTGGAGACTGAAGGGATGTTCATTAATTGGGGAACGGCTAAACAAGTTGCGGCATGATTGTGATGGAACACTATTGTTCCATAAGAAAAGATAGGGGCAGCTAGGTGGCGCAATGGAGAGAGCACCAGCCCTGATGTCAGGAGGACCTGAGTTCAAACTTGACCTCAGACCAAACACTTTACACTTACTAGCTGTGTGACTCTGGGCAAGTCATTTAACCCCAATTGCCTAAAAAAAAAGAAAGAAAGAAAACAAAAATGAAATGATGGGCAAGATGATTTCAGAAAAACCTGGGAAGACTTACATGAACTGATGCAAAGTGAAGTGAACGGAGCCAGGAGAACACTGTCCACAGTAACAGCAATACTGTATCATGATCAGCTTTGAATGACTTAGCTATTCACTGCAATAAAATGATCAAAGACAGTTCCAAAAGACTCATGAAGGAAACTGATATCTACCTCCAGAGAAAGAACTGATGAAGTCTGAATGCAGAACAAAGCATACTTTTTAAACTTTATTTTTCTTGGGTTTTTTTTTTGTCTGTGTTCTCTTTTGCAACATGACTAATATGTAAATGTGTTTTGCGAGACTGCACATGTATAATAATAATCTATATCAACTTACTTGTTTTCTCAGCTCTGGGGAAGGGGAGAGAGGGAATTTGGAACTCAAAAATCATAAGAAACAAATGTTAAAAGTTGTTACTACATCTTACATTCTTGTATGTGTGTGTGTGTGTGTGTGTGTGTGTGTGTTTGTGTGTGCTCACATGCGTTCGTACCATACATGCCCAGACTTTAGCACAGTGCTCGGCACATAGAAAAGCATTTAAGTGAATAAGTGAATGAAAAAGAATTCATTCTCTGAGGCAGCAAGGCATAGTAGGAAGGGCGGTGGATCTTCAGAGTCAGAGGACCCAAGTTCAAATAGCATCTCTGTCACTTAACCACCAGTGTTATCTCTAGCAAGTCCTTTCTCCTTTCTGGGCCTCAGTTTCCTCATGTGAAATGAAGGAGTTGGGCTAGATGACCTAACAAGTCCCTTCCAGTTCTAAGACCTCATTCAGGAGACAAGAGGGAGCCCCAGCAAGTGACCGGCAGTTGACTGGCCAAGCAGAAGGAAGCAGTTCTAAGAGTCTGAGGACAATCTGCCTCCAGCCAGCCAGCCAGGCCACCAGGCTTCAAGCTAAGCCTGGGTTTCATTCTTTGACAACACCAGGTCATAGGAAAACAAGCCTCCATGCTCAGGGTCAAATCTTATCTTCTGAAAACTATGCAACCCTCCCCCGTTGTGAATTCAAGGAACACTTAGAGGCCTCTGGGAGAGATGAAACCTGCATTTCAGAAGCTCTCCTGCCACAAGTTGGGCTGAGCTGAGGGATCAAATCCACCCTTCCCATTTGTCCTTTGGATAAGGAAAGCCTTTCTAGATACAGTGGAGGAAAATCACTAGGGAAATGAAGTCATCTGTCAGATAATGCTCAAGCTGGTGATGTCTTCGCCAAACTCCTAGGTCCCATTCACTTTATTTATGGTCACAGAGGAACCCAAGCCCCTGCTCCATGTCTGCAAGTTAATTATCTCACAATCCACCTCCCGCTTCCCCCTACACACACACACACACACACTTCCGAGCGTTCTTGCCAGAGAGTGACTCGTGTGTCAAAGCATGACCTATATGTCCCAATTCTTTCTGAGGTCTGTCTCGAGGTTAAGTCTGGATTCACTGCATTTCTTTGTGGTTAGTTTATCTTTTGTTGTTTGGCCAACTGCTAAGCTCGGTCCCTTCTGTCATCATGAGGACAAGCATTGAGTAAGAACTGGGAGGAAGAGGAGAAGGAGAGGGTAGGCGATGAGTCTTGATCCACTCTCACCAAGTCCTAACCCAGAACCAAATACTGCAATGGTTGGAGAGAAGGGGAAAGCCCTTTCCTTAGGTTCAGGCAGCTCTGTTTTAGGAGGGCCACAATAGCTGGGATGCTTTAATGAACCTTCTGGGCCAAAACATTTAAGTGTCCTTAGCCAACGCCCACCTGAGGCCACACATAACATTTCCTATGTCCCCTACAGGACAAACTGTATGCCTGGATATTCACCCCAGCCTCTAAGATCAAAGGAAATTCCAATGGATATAATGAGATCAAGAGGATTAAATAATTGACATTTACATAGCATTTTCAAGTTTACAGAATGTTTTATGTGCTTTATCTCACTGATCCCCAGAACTACCCTGTAAGATAAGTCCTACAGGCATCATTATGTCAGTTTGCAGATGAGGAAACTGAGGCTCAGAAAGGGAGATCACCTTCCATCAACTCTGTAAATATTTGGCACAGATATATTTATTTACATGTCATTTCCTCCATTAGAATGTCAACTCCTTGAGGGTAGGAATGTGGTTTTGCTTTTCTTTCTTTCTTTCTTTTTTTAATATGAGGCAATTGGAGTTAAGTAACTTGCCCAGAGTCACACAGCTAGTGAGTGTTATGTGTCTGAGGCCAGATTTGAACTCAGGTCCTCCTGACTCCAGGGTTAGCACTCTATCCACTGTGCCACCTAGCTGCCCCTTGCCTTTCTTTATATCCCTAGCACTGATCAAAGCAAGAGAAGAGTCCTGATCCTCTCTCACCAAGTCTGAACCCAGAACTAATTACCACAACAGCTGGAGGGAAGGGAAAACACATATCATTAAAAGACATCATCAAAAAAAAAAACAACACATCATAATCATCATCATAAAAGACATTATATAATAAGCAACTAATAAATGCTTGTTAACTCTTTGCCTGATCACACATATTGGTTCTCTGTTGGACCCAGGACCCAAACTTGAGTTTCTTGACTGAGTCAAACACCAAATCTACCAGGCCACTCCAGAACAGAGGTTAATAAGGGCCTAAAAGAAAGAAAAAAGAGGGAAGGGCAAAGGAACTAGGAAGTAAAAAAGGTAGGATCTGATCTCAAGGAGTAGAAAGAGTTCTGTGTCAAGCTCTGGGTTTGCCCATGGGCAAATCATTGCATTTCTACAAGCCTTGGTTTCCTCATTGATAGAATAAGAGATCAGAACTAGATGACCTCTGAGGTCCCTTTTATGTCTCAATCTCTGATTCTCATGACTCCAAGTCCACACAATGGAAGAAAATTCAGAGCAGATGTTATCCAGATTGAAGAAAGGTCCCACCAGACAGAAGCTGAGCGTTTCCACTTTGTACATACCTACCCGCAAGGACCAGCAAGAGTTAAGAATCCAAGCTAGTGGCTGCCGGCTCCTGCCGCCCTTTTCCAATCCAAATTCCTACAGAACCAGCCATGTTGTTCAAACATGCCCCATGCTGGGCTCTGGTGGTTTTCACTCCAAACTGAAATGCTGCCTTCGAAACCCAACGAGTCCCTGGAGGATTAGTCATAGCCAGAAAGCCAAGTCCTAAACCTCTCAGTCTACAAGATTCTGGCCGCCAGATCCATTCATGCTCCTGCCAGGCAATGGGCTTGAACTTCCTGGACCCTCACCCAGAGGGAAGGGGAGGAGGTCTCCAGGGAGACCCCAGTCAGCCATGGTTAATGTCTCTCCCACCCAGGCTGGAAGGTGGGGCTCAGCTGGCTGATACCCTACACATCATTCAGAAGTCTTTGATTTATTATCTAGTTAAGATATTCAGAGCCAAGAACAGCAGGAAGTCCGTTGTATAGATAAGTCCCTACAGTGTTTAGGCTTCAGCATTTATTAAATAGCAAGACAAACAGCACATGGAAAAAACAGCTCTTTGTTTATGTGTGAGGCCAGAAGACAAGGGGTCCCTATATCATAGTCTACTACCGAAAAAGTTTCAGAAAGCTGACCCAAAGAGATTTCTTCTGAATGAAGCACAATCCTCCCCTCACCCTGGGATTTAATTCTGGTTCCTGTAACTTCCACCTCATAACTCCTTCCACAGTGGACTCAGTACACAAATTAAGGACTCAAGGTGCCCCAAAGTCAAGATCCGTCTGTTCCTCAACCTCTACACAACCACTGTCCCAGTTATCAGACATTATTGGGTGAATGACATTAGCCCCCTCTCCCTACTTCTCTAGGACGGAAGCTCATGAAACAAAATGTGTTCTGGGTCCTTCTAAACACCAGGGAATTAATGAGATAGTAACCAAGAAAAGGGCCCAGGAAACAGTAGTTCTAACATGAATAATCCAGACTCTCTCTTCTTTGGACCAGCAGAGAAGCCTTCCAGAAGCCTGAGGCATGAGCATCTCCCAGGTACCTGAAACTTCATGCCTACAGATGCTAGGATTCCTGGGTAAACTTAGGAACAGCATTATGGGCAGCGCCCTAGCTCCACAGGCCACTGTGGGACAAAGGATCATAGAATTAGAAATTCAGAGCAGGAGAGCTTTCAAGAAGCCCAACTCCCTAATTTACAGGTAAGGCAACTGAACCCCAAAGATATGAAGGGACTTGTCTATGGTCACCCAAACAAGTAACCCAGGTCTTCCTGACTAGTATCCAGGGCTAGTATCCTGTCTTCTTCACTAAACCTTCTGCAGAAGTGGAGTACATTTCTAGGTACAGTGAAGTTCACTTTATACAATCACAGGTCAGTAGGTTCAGTTTTCCACTGGGACCAGTAAGTGACAACCCTCAGTTTATCACAGGCTGTTCCCTTAAGGCTTCCATGCCTCTCTTTCTTTGGGGTGTTGTCTTCTTGAGTTGAATGGGATCTCCTCAGAGGAGGAGCTGCTTCAGTATTTTTGTCTGCATCCCCAATGCTTAGCACATAGAAATTGCTTCTTCACTCATTCATCATGGTGTGTAAAAATATTAGAATCCTCATTATGATCCTAAATCACAAGTGCCATTTGGATGGCTCTACTGGTGATCAGGGGACTGGCTGGCACCCCAACAGATGCTTCTGCTTTGAGCCCTCCTGTAGCTACTTCCCTGAAAAGGTCACACTATCTGATAGTCATACCCAAAGCAGCAATTTGAGAGCTAGACCTACGCACATGGAAGCTATAGGTGCCACTGACTCCATTCAGCCATGCTTTGTGATGTTCTTGGTTGAATCTGCCAGAGTGGTAGAGCTGGCTACATGGCAAAGTCTTGATATGTTCTAGAAGAGGTTTCTACTACAAAACATGGCATTAATACATGACTTGGACTTCTCAAACCATGCCTACAGCAACCTACAGTTAACCAAAGCAGCTTAAGGAACTCTGGAGAAAAGAGAGACATAGTGGTGGACATGCACACACAGCAAAACTAGGCACACTGGAAAGAGTCCTAGACTTGGAGTCAGGGAGAACTGGGTTCAAATCCCATCTCAGATACTTACATAAGCTCTGTGACACTGGGCAAGTTTCTGCTTAACCACTCTATACCTCAGTATCCTTAGGTGTAAAATGAGGGGGTGGGATTTGACAACCTTCCTTACTCTAAATCTGTCATCAAAATCCATTTAATATCTGCATTGACCATATGTAACATAGGAATTCAATAGTTTCAAATGACCATCAAGGATTGGTTGAAATCTATCACATTACTGAAAGGTGACTTCTTATTGGCCTAAAAGTCACTGAAGGCACCTAGTAGACATATGATGAAATTAATCATTTGAGACCTGGCCTGTTTCCATGGAATGCACAACAAACAATCAAAGTCCATTTATATTTTTGTGGGTTTTTTTAAATATATACTTGGTTTTGTACCAATGCCCATTCTAGATAAAATCAGGAAGTTTGAAGAGACCAGGAAAAGTATTAATAACTAAGAGACTGATGACAGGATGAAATTTGATAAGCCATCATGCAGAAGGATTGGATTTATTTTGCTTCACCCCAGAGGACAGATTAGGGGTAATGGAATGGAACCTTAGGAAGGCAGGCCAGCTCGGTATAAGGAAAAGCATCCCTATAATTAGAGCTATACAAAAGTGTTATGGGATGCTTCATGAAGCTGTGAATACTCCATCACCAGCTCTTTAAGCAAAGGTGATAATACAGCCATGGATAGGGCTCCCTAGCAATAAAACAAAGCACAACATACATTTATCAAATGCCTATTATATTTATTAAATTTATATTTATTATATATTATAGTATATATATTCATATATTATATATTTGCATACTGTATTTATTAAATGCCTATTATATTCAACACATGGAGATTGGGGCTACAATAGAATGAAAAAGCCCCTACCCTCAAAAAGTTTACACTCTACCAGAATGAAACAACATGTAAACATATATATACAAACATGATTGTTTTGGGAGAGAGAAGAGAAGAGGAGAGGAGAAGAGAGAAGAGAGAAGAGGGGAGGGGAGGAGAGGAGAGGAGAGGAGGCAGGTAAGAGAGAACAAGAGTACTAACAAGTGAGAGGATAAGGACAATTTTCAACAGAATATGGTACGTGAGCTAAGCCTTAAAGGACTAAAACTTAAAAGACATCAGGTCTTCTAAGAAGTGGAGGTGCTGAGAGGGTGCATTCCAGGCACAGGGATAGCCTGGGCAAAAACACAGAAGCAAGAAATAGAATGTTGATTCAGGGAACAACAATTAGGCCAGTTTGAACAATGAATATGATGAAAACAGAGAAGTATAGGAAGATTTTTATGAACTGATCCAAGGCAAAGTAAGCAGAATCAGGGTGAATCATATACACAATCACTAGAGCAACATAAACGGAGAGAGCAATAATACAACAAAGGAAGTTGAATGCTATGAAATTATAATAAGGAAGGTTGGACCTGAAGAAGAGATACCTTCTTTGTAGAGGTGGGGAACTATAGGTGTGGAACACTATGTATGATGTTGGATTTAGTGGATATGTTGGTTAATTTCACTAAACTGATTCCCCCCCCC